GTGGTGGGACACAGCTAGAGCTTTGTAAGCGGAGGGCACCGGGTCTCAGAAAGCCGTGAGCTGTGTCCGCTGAACTGATGGTGCCTCACACCACCATGGAGGAGCTGTACGCTCGTTTTTCCAGGCTCCCCTCCCAGTAGGGCAAGGCACAGGAACGGCTCCCTCCCATTAATTCAGAGCTGCCTGCTGCTAGAGAAAGGAAATGGAGCCGCAGAAACAAAGCAGGCGTCGGAGCTGGCAAGATCCTGTCGGATGGGTTCGAAGAGGAGGGAGGGAGGAGGTCAAACAGGGCAAGGAAAAGAGCGGGAATTAGCTGAGGGTCCATAGCTGGATTTCCAAGTCTCTGCCACATTTGCTCTCTGTCTGCTGAGCCGAGGAGATGGGCTGCTTGCTCCCATCTCAGAAGTCCTACAGATGTGGCCAGGTGTTGGCTTTATGGTAGGCTGGGTTTTTTTGCTTAGATTTTCCCAGCTTTGGGAGCCAGCTGTGCTGACCCTGCCTCTGTCACTGAGGACCCCAGTGTGTCCCACGAGGGCTTGGTCCATCAGAGACACCTCGGGGGGGCTACGCACAGCTGCCCCCGCCAGAGAAGCGTTCGTCCAGCCAGCTGGTTAGTTTGACGAACAAACCAGGGTCAACACAGATAAAATGAATAAACAAATGCTGGGGTCAGCAGAAGGAAGCAGGAGACGAGGGTCCTGCTGCTTTGATACTCCAGGATTTGAGATCCTGCACTCGCCCCCATGCATTTTGGGAAAGCGCTGCATAAAGAGCTATATATTTTTATTATTTTTGGGTGACAAAATTTGATTTAGACTCTGATGTCCTCTTGGGGTAAATATTTCTGGTAGTTTACTCTTTTTCTAAATAAAACTAATCCTTGTTACTCCAAAGCAACCCTACAATAATAAACCGATCTGCCTTGCCTAATTCTGCCCAGCAGCTGTAACCAATCAATAGGTATATGAAATGTGATACAAGGGGAGATATCACAGGGAATGTCCTCCTGGTGTTGCACCGAAGATCAGTGGAGAGAGGCTTCATTTGCTTTGATTTTTTTTTTCTTTAAGGAGTTGCATTGATTTCAGTACTCTTCTTTTTGCTTTTATACCTTTGAACTGTGAAGGGTGAGTTGTGCTAGCCAGGCTTCTCCAGTGAAAGTGCTGCTGGTAGAGAACAGCAGCACTCCCAGGTAACGCTTACAAATCAGATACTTGCAGAACACCTCACTGCTGCTCCGAGAGGCAGTAAGAGATGTAAATCAAAGCAGGTGCAATGCTTTAGTGCAGCTCTAGTTATATGAATGTACTGTAGCACTCCATAAATGTATTTGCCAGAGTAAAGTGTTGTATAACATGTAAAACCAAAGAAAGGACACCTTCAAAGTTGGAATGTGCATGCAGAGTGTCTCCAGGCCCACTGTCCTCCTCACTTCTTTCCTGTAGTTTTTTTTCTAGTTTTTAGGATCCAGACAGCAAGCAGTATGTCCTGTAGTGTGGAGTACTTTGCCCTGAGGCAGTGAGTCTGTATGATGCCTTTCCTCCATCTTCTTTTTTCAAAATCAACTTACTTGGCACATTCCTATGTGATAAAAGTTCAGTCCACTTCTCTCAGCTTTGTGTGGATGAAGGACAGTGTGTTTTACTGCATTTTCTTGTGCTAATGGAGAGGAGACTCATTGCCCTGATGCGAATGCGTAACCTTTTACATAGGTAAATATGAAAATATAATCATTTCCTTTCAGTTTTCTGGGTGTTGAGTTGTGGGAAGGTAGTGAGGTAGATTCTGCAGGGGTACGTCCTTACAACTGATAAAAGAAAACCACTAGTGAGAGCGACCTGCCAAATTATCTTCCTCCCAATTTTCCTCTTTGCATTTCTCTTACTGAGGCTGATGCTGAGGGTAAGAGCATGGCTATGAGGATGTTAGGATTAAACAGTAACTGAAGTGAATATCATCCTGGGATGTTCTTACACAGAAGGTCGAGGCGGTGGTGGTTACTGGAGTAATTTTGGCTGAGTTTGCAGGCAGGCTGCAGCCAGGGAGCCGAATGGCCGCATCACGATTGCCGTTGTCCTTGTCTCGCTGGGTAACTCGAAGGCTGCAACGTCTGTGCTCCCTTTGCTGCAGCTCTGCGTCTCTCGTGCCGCAGAGTTACTGTGGGACTGGGAGACTTTGCTGAAAGTATCCCAGCCCCAGGGACTTTCCCCCTTTTCTACTGGCATCTTTTGGTGCTGATGTTTCTTCCTCCTGCCGAGTACCAGGCTAAGAGTTGTTACAGGCTCCCAGAGGCAGCCAAAAAAGTGTAGAAAGCAGAAGATGCTTAGAAACAGATGTGGGTGATTGGCACCATTGCCTTCACTGGATCCCTGGAGCTAAAGCAATGAAGGCTGTGGATACAGGATGAATGACATCAAGCATTTCTCCTGCATTAGGTAGTCTTAAGCCATGTGAAAAGCTCCAGTGGCAGCAGTCACTCCTGTTTTGCAGATGCGGCTGCAGGAGGATGTGCCCAAGGTTTTTACCTTTGCACCCCCTTGACCCAGCGTTGTCCATCCTTCCCTTTCAAGAAACAAAAAAGTTGTTTCCTGCTTGATTGCTCTTCAAGTAAAGCTTTTATAGCCGTATCTGGAAGTACTGGGAGGATCTACAGTTTTTGTTAATTAGGCATTTTCCTAAAAAACAGCTTTTTGTTACAAAATAAACATTCTTGTTGACAAGTATTAGCCCTAGAGTAAATCAAGCAGGGAATTGGATTTCTTGTTGGTTTATATTTTCAGTGCCTGAGCTAATTTAAGATCATTTCATTTGTTATGATATATTTATTCTGCATAACTATAATCCTTTATTATTATTATTCACTACCATCTGCTCATTAAATGTTTAAGTATTCCCACACTCTGAGCTTAATATTTTAGAAATTTATAATGTTCTCGCCCATCAGTGATTTCATTTTGGCACACTTAAAAACAATACAGCTATTCCTTACAACTGGCAAAGAATTACTGTGATCTATTCATCTTAAAAAAAAAAAAAAATCTTTGTTCAGATAGAAAACCATGCAGAAAGTTCACGACGGTTCCTTGTGAGAGGGAAAATCGCTCCATTATTTGCTTGCGTATTGGAAAATAGTTGCTAGAAGCAAGGAAAGGAGCTTTGAGCTGGTTGTTGCTCCCTTTCCCGCGTAGTCTTTCCAGACAAGTTCTGTTCCCAGGCTATTGATCCTCAAAAACAAAAGGGCAGATTGCACAGAAGAGCATCTTTTGTTTCACTGCACTGTGCAGACTGCCAGACATGGAATGCGTTTCAGAGCACAGCGTTTCCCACCATGAACATCTCAGCCCCTCGCTGTCAGCATGACAGAAATGAGAAGCAATCCCTCTGGTATGAGACAGTTTGACCCTTTGAATTACACTGGAGGGCAAGTATAGGGCTCATTCTGACTGAGTGTTATGTGCTCCCTTTGACAGTCCAGTTTCGAAGGCATTCAACATTAACTGAGGCTAATTGGAGATTTGGCTCCTCCATAAAGTTCTGATTCATGTTTCTTGCACGCTTAAGTGGATTGTTTTAGTTTATCTCTGCTTAAAAAAAAAAAGTATTTGCAAGCTGCAGCTGCAGGAGTCGTGCATGTTCCTGTTCCTGGACAATTTATAGAGCAGCAGAGATCCCTGGTTTTGAAAATTGTGATAGACGTGATCCTTTCCACACGTGCCGTTCACAAGTTATCTCGATGTCACCCTGGTTTCCTCAATGCCTTGGCTCCTGTGAAGGCTTATGGTGGTTGAAGCTGGTTCTGGTACAATGAAGAGGTATGTAGCTCTCCAGGGAGCTTTTTTCTTTCCTGATACTCTTTGCACAGAGATGTGTCGATATTTGGTTACAAGAAGAGTTTGGCTTCCGGGTTGCCCACTGTTGCACCCTCGCAAGGGAAGGGCTTACATGGACAGACGCATCGGTCTCAGCGAGTACGATGTTGTGGTTAGAAATCCAAGCAGGGACAGCTGCTTCCCTGTCACTCTCTCTGGGTGTATAAAAACTGTCAGGACGAAATTGAGGGAACTTTGTTACCCTCTCCCTGCGACATCTTTTATGTTGTTGTATCGCAAAGCAGTGCTGGTTTATGTTCCTGTTCTTTGGAAAGTGCCTGTCTGAAATCCTACCGTGTACCAGCCCTTTTGATCACTCAATCTATATGTGTATGTTTTTCCCTGTCTGTTAATGGCTTTTGTCTCATTAAATGCCAGAGAGGCTCTTCTCTGTGAAGGCAGCTTGAAGCATTTAGGACTCATTAGACTTCAAAGGCAACCGGCTGGTACCACAAGTAAGGGAGGAGGAAATAGAGTGACAAGAGGATTCCGTTAATGGAGAGTAAAAATAAACCCCAGACAGGAAGGAAAATCCTATAGGTCTGACTCAGAGCTGCAATCCTAAGGCTGTGGCTTCAATGACTGATTCAGCAGTGGAGCTGCACACAGAGATGCCCTCTGACTTGGCTTCTGTCCACGCTAGGTTTGAATACCTCAGTAGTTGGGGTCTGCAACGAGGCTAAGGTCCACAGAGTCACTTTGCTTTTCGGACAAGTGCTTCCATTTGACCTGTACACCCATGACTCTAGTCCCTGCAGCCTCTGGGTTTGCATCCAGCAGTCTGTGAGGTGCCAGGCACTTGCTTTGATGGGAGCTGCTCCCCCGTGTCCACCTTGTGAAGGGAAACCCTAGTGATGAGGGAAGACGGGAATGTAGCTTGCTGATAATTGTTCCCTTCTCCCTATCCCTCCCCCTAAATAGGCTTGCCATTTTAAATGTGCTTTAATAAGGTCTTTAATCCATGGGAAGGAAGGGATGCTGTGATAGGTAAGGTGCTGTGATAGGTAAGGTACTGTTGGCTAGATCAGAGCATGGAGGGAACAGATCTTGACAAAGAGGCTCAAAAGAGATGATATGTGAACAGAAGCATCTTGCTGACCAGCTCTTCTGTGTTCGTTTCTCCTGTTTCAGGGAAGATCCTCTTCCGCCGAAGTCACATCCGAGATGTCGCGGTCAAGCGGCTGATACCTATTGATGAGTACTGCAAGGTAAGGGCACGTCCCTGGCTTCAGGCAGATGGCACCGCTTGGATGAGGCTACGTCCCGTTCTGCTGACAGAACTCAGCTGTGTGCCAGCACTGGGAAAACGGGAAGCATGCACTATCCCACCGTAAAACCTTGTCCTTGTACTTCTGTGGCGAGGCGGCCTCCCGCTGAGTCTCCTTTCGTTCCGTGTGATGAGCGCTGGGGGCCCAGAGCCCTGCACATGCTGCGTGCAGGACGGCCTAGCTCTGCTCCAGGGAGAAGACAGAGAAACGGTGAAATGCTAGTCGTATTCCTTAGGTATGGAAGGTGCTCGGGTACCATAGTAGTGACTGTGGCCCAGGACTTAGCTTGGCAAAGTGGTACAAGGTGTGCTGGGAAGCAGTGGTCCCAGCAGCAAGGAGCTTGGGTGAAGCTCGGGGTGCTGCTTGGCTCCAGACAAGTGTGGTCGGCCCCTTGTTTTCTGAGTCACTCAAATATGCCAGCAACATGCAGACACGCACAGCCATAAATTGTATTTTAGAGTGGCTAAAGTCCCTGAGCGATAAGACGCTGTAGCTGTCTGCTTCAGAATGATGCCATTAATGGCATGAATATAATGAATCCATTTGACTTAACAACTGGAACATAATGGCTGCTGTTATATGACTCACGTAAAGAGCAGCTCTCTCCTCCTCCCGTTAATGCGTTACCAAGTAATAAAATGCCTTCCCATGCCAGGCCTTCCCATTTCTGCTACTTAGCTCTAATGCTGCTGCTGAGATGGAAGGTGGATGTGGGACCAAACAGCCTTAGAAACCTGGAATAAGCAGAGAGGGAGAGGGAGCAGAGAAACTTCTCCTCGTGGGCATGTAGTGCCACAGGTTGCACTGCAGAGCCACTGCCAACTTTCCCTGGTGTATTTATTGCCGGAGATGCATTGTGCACGTGCTGTGGGAATCTACCCTCAGGCAAAAAAAATGCAAATCCTCTTCTAGCTTGCAGTGCATGGGCCTTACTTAGAATTGAGAGGTAAATGGAAATGTTGAAAAAAATTTCCTACAAAATACTGCATTGGAAAGGTTTTGCTTTTTCTTCTGGAAGTGGGAAAGTGATAGTAAGAATGACTGCTTTTGTCAGGCAGTGCTCTTGCAGGACGTGGAGAAGGGCTCCATTCTGGCTCCCTCCATACTGACAACCTGGGCAATTCAAAATAAGGTCCCAGAAAAGGAGCAAAATGGTCGAAGCTGGTAAGAGCAATCCATTCCGAGCTGAGTTTTCAAAGGACTCGTTATTCCATGAGACTGACTAGGCAGCGAGGAGGGGCAACAGAGGTCTAAAATTTTTCCCTATTGCTCCTGTTTGTTCTCTGTGTCCTACGTTTTCCCTGAATGAGGGAACTGCCTTTCTCCAGTATAGGATTTTGAGGAAGCCTTGATTTGATTGTAGATGAAAGAGTCGTGGTGGCGTGATGCTCTCCCCTTAGAAGCCTGGGCAGACCTCCAGAAAAAAGTCTTGCGAGAGACATCCATGGCCATATGTATTTTTCTATGTAGAAATGACATCCATGAAAACCTGGTCTGCTAGATAGCCATTTGTGTCCCTGAAAGCCAGGGAGCAAGTAGCTTTTTTTCTCTGCCATTTCTCACATGATCTGGATTACTGTGGGCCCCTGATTAGTGGTGTGGCTGTCTGCTGTGTTGGCAGTGCCTGACTGTGCAGTGAATGGCTGGAAGGGCTTTTGGGGGCCCGCAATTAGGTCAGTGTGGAGCCACATCTGATATGTGTGGTAACCCCAGGGCTTTGTATTTGTGGCTTTGTTTCTGGTACAGAAATGAGCAGAGATTTGGCCATGCTTGTGTCACAAGACTGCTGTGACAGCAAGTAGAAGGGAGAAGGAATTATATAGGAAACTGGTCAAATATCTACTGCAGCCTGGCATGCAGAGCTGCAGCACTGGTTCCTGCTCCAAAATCTTCCTCCTTCTTTAACTTTCTGCAGTCACCTCTACCATGGTCTTTGTACTCCCCAATGCACTGAAATCAGAGCAGTGTACTCTGCACTGCTGTGTGCTCCCATGCCACTCTCCAGCACAGTCTGCCCTCCTCACCTACAGCCCGAATCGAAAGGCATTGCAATGGCCCTGTCCCAAAGCAAATACTGTTGTTTCAGGCATTGCCTTCCAACATCCCCAGGCCCTGCTGTGTAGTCGCTCTCACTCTAACCGTGTAAGTCTCGCCTTCAAAGCCTGTCTTTTTGCAAAAGGCTTCCTTG